TATCCGCGCCCCGTTGTACCTCTACTTCGCTTTATCATCAACTGCCTTGATCATCGCCTCATGTCTTCGTTGCCCGAGATTCATGTCATCCGATGTAATCCCTACTCAATTGCATCCGCACCCGATCTGCTCCGCCCGATTTTATCCCCACTCGAATTATCCTGGCACGACTGCTTTCTCACCCGATTGTATCCTGACACGATGTAATCCTCATCCGGGTTGATCCGCACCTGGTTGTTTCTTCATCCGACTCAACCCTCACCCGAGTGCATCCTCAACCGAATGTATATTCACCCACTTTGATCTCATTCGATATATCTGCACCGGATGATATGCTCGCCCACTGTATCCTCACCCGATTTATCCTGACCCGATCGCATATTCGCCTAATTCTATCCTTACCTGATTGTTACCCTCGCACGATTTTATCCACACCTGGTTGTATCCTTACCCGATTTGATCCCCAACCGATCTGATCCTCGCCCGAGTTCATATTCGCCCGGTGATATCCTCACCCGTTTTTGCCCTCACCCGATTTATCCTGACCCGGTCGATCTTCGCCTGGTTGTATCCTCACCCTTTTTCTCTCTTCACCCGATTTGATCCCCGCGCGATTGCGTCCCCTTTCGGTTTGACATCGTCCGATTTATCTTTACCCGATGGTATCCTCATTCCTCACCCGATTTCATCCTCACCCAATTCTATCCGCACCCGATTGTCGTCTCGCCCGATGTTATTCACACCCGATGGTACCGTCAATCGTATGATCCTTACCCGATTCCATCTTCACCTGATGTAATCCTCACCCGATTTACCCTCGCCCGACTTCATCCTCACCCGATATATCCTCAAAAGGATTCTATCCTCACCTGACTGCATCTGCACGCGATTTTTGCCTTACACGATTTATTCCTCACCCGATATCCTCCTCGCCCGAATTATCGCCGCCCGATGTTCCATCGCTGCCCGATGTCATTTGCGCCCGATTTGATCATCCCCAGATATTTCCATCACCCGACTTTATCCCCACCCGATGTTGGCCTCACCCGATTGCGTCCTCACCCGACTGCATCCGCACCCGATAATACCCTTGCCTGATTTTACTTCGCACGTTGCTGCCTTCACCCGATTGTATCTTCCCCAGAGGAAATCATCTTCCTGCGATATTATCCTCACCCGGTGTTCTCCTCATCCGATTGTTCTTCGCCCGATTTTACTCTAGCCCGATTTTATTCGCGCTCCATTTTGTCTCCGCTCGATATGTATCCTCAACCGATTTTTCTCTGCCCGATCCTACCCGCGCCCGATTACACTCTGATCAATTCTTTCCCGCACGATTTTATCCCCATGCGGATTTGTCCTCACCCTGGTGTCTCCCCACTCGATTGTATATTCAGCCGATGTCACCCCCGCCAGATTTTATCCTCGCCCGATTTCTCATTCACCCGATTTCACCCTCACCCGATTGTTATCCTCACCCGAATTTCCCCTCACACGATGTATCTTCGCCCTATGTTTTCCCCGCCCGATTGTATCCTCACCCGATTGTATCTTCGCCTGGACTACCTCTGCCCAGTTCTATTCTCACCAGACTATCCCCGACCGATTGTTTCATCATCCGATGTCACCCCCGCCCAATTTTATCATCGATGTATCTTCACCCGATGCTATCCTCACCCGGTTTCTCCTCGCCTGTTTCTATCCACGCCCGATGTATTGTTGCCCGATGTTATCCTCACCCGTTTTGTTTGCCATTCGATTGATCTTCGCCCGATTGTATCCTCACCACATCTATCGTCATCCGATTCTACCCTCACTCGGTTTAATCTTCACCCGATTTTATCTTCACACGATGATATCATCATCCGATTGTGTTCTCACTCGATTTACCCGCATCCGATTTCATCCCCACCCGATTTACTCGCACCCGATTTTATTGCCACCCGATCATATCCCCACCCGATTCTACGCTCAACCAATTTCATGTTTACTCGATTCTATCTGCACCCGGTTTTATCCTCACTAGATTTCATCTTCACCCGAGTTAACCCCCGCCGGATTCTATCCGCATTCGATTTGATTTTCACCCGACGATGTCCTCACCCGAATCATTTGGTACCCGATTTCATTTTCACAGGGACATCATCCGATTTTATCGCCACCCGGTTTGTCTTCGCCCAACCGAATCCTCACCCGATCGTTCGTCATCTTATTCCATACCCACCCGATGTTATCTTCGCCCGTCTTCACCGTCGCCCGATAGTACCCGCACTCGATTTTACTCTCTCACGATTTTACCGTAACTTGATTTACCCTCACCCGATCTTTTCCTCTCCATATGTATTATCTTCATTTGGTTCACCCGATGGTATCCTCACCCTATGTATCCTCACCCCATTTGATCCCCGCTCAATGTCATCCTCACCCGATTTGATCCTCACTCGAGTTATCCGCATTCGCCTGATTGTATCCTCACCCGATATTATCCTCGCCCGATGTCCTTTGCCCGATTTAATCCTTAACCGATCGCATCCTCACCCGATTATGTCCTTATCCGATGTTATCCCCACCGGGTGGTATCCCCATCCGATTCTATCTTCACCCGACTGTACCCTCACCCGTTTTTATCATCACCCGTTGTTTCCCCACCCGACTTTCCCTCACCCGATTTTATCCTCATCCGATTGTGTCCTCACCCGGCTTCTCCTCACCCGTGTTTGCCCGCATTCGTTGTACCTCTGCCCGATGCTCTCCTCGCCCTGGCTTCGTCTTGGTGCTCCCTTCCTCCCGAGGCCCTCGAGGACGGCGCCGCGCCAGGCTCCGCGCACGAGCCGCCGCTGCTCGCCTGGCCGCGGGGCTTCGGCCACGCCTTCGTGACCCGCTGCCAGCTGCGCCTGCGGCGATCCGCGGCGCGCGCGCAGGGCGCCGGGCCGGCTGGCGAGGGCGCCGAGGACGGGAGGGCGCCCGCGAGCTGCACGCCTACTACCAGCCTGGAACATACCCCCTCATCCCTGTGCCGGGGCACCTCCTCATCACGATGCCAATCTTAGGGGTTCCCTTGTTTTTCGAGGGCGGGTCCCTAAGATTGTCATCGCCTTTTGGCGTGTCAATCTTCGGGATAGGGATACGTTCGAGGCTGGTTAGCCCGCGAGTTGTACGCCTAGACTCGGGGGAGGAAAAAGGTACCCATGCCACTAACCTTCGCCCGCTCTCCTCTCCTCGGGCCTCCTGGGATCGGGGGTGGACATACCTCCTACCCTGACACGCCGATTGGTGAATTGTCCGTTTTCGGTTTTCGACAGGGCATCGCGGCCGTTGTTTTTGCGGGTCCAGGTCCGTCGGTTTCGGTCCTAGGTCGTTGTCACTAAAGGGAGGCTTACTAAAGGGAGGTTTGTTCACCGCCTCCTAGGAGGCCTTCGTCGCCACCGCTGGATTCGCGTCGACATCCTGGTCAGAACGCGCCCCGGGAGAGAGGCACTGGGTGCAGCGGCATCGGTACCTCTTGGTTTGCCCGTAGACACCGGCGCTGGCCTCCATATCGGGGGGTTCGGATCGACTACACGCAGGTAGAAGTGACCCTTCGTCGGAGTGACCTGTGGTGCGGGCCCACTCGGATCTCCCGATCGCTGAACGCGACGCGATCTCCCGATCGCCACTGGGATCTCCCGATCTCTGTATCGCGTCTTGCGCGCGTGGGGTTGCCCCCCCCGCGGTCCCCCGAAAGCTGCGCACCAATGGTCACCATTAGGGTCATTCATGCGCGTCGCCGATCGAGGTTGACACGAACACCAACATCGGCGGTGTGCATCCACCGAGGGAGGATGCTCCCGACCTCGGTGACGGTGGTCACACTCGGGCTTCCCAGGTCGCCCGAATATTGCCACCAGCACCTAAATCTAGGGTTATATTCCCCGGGGGGGAGCAAGCCCCCCCGTGTTGGTGCTGGTGCCCGTTTCCAGGCCTCCGACTCTGGGCCTCTCAGGATGGGGTCCGCGAGCATGGGGTCGCAGGATCGCGCCGCACCACCGATGCATCGGCGATGCGGCTCGATGTGGTGCACGATTCTCGTAACGCCGACGTGACCGACGCATCGGCGACGTCGCCAGCGCATCGCCGGTGCGTCGGCGATGCACCGGCGATGCAGCGCGATCCTCCGACCCCATCTGCTCCGACCCCGTCTGGGAGCCCGATGTTCTCCGAGCTGAGGTCGCCGATGCATAGCCAGCGACGCCGATGCATCGCTGATGCATCGACGGTGCGGCGCGATCCTCCTGCCCCCTCGGCTCCGACCCCATCGTGGAGGCCCCCATGGCCAGGCCCCTTCTGGGCCCCGGGTCGGCGTGTGCAATTGTCTTGGGGCGGGCGTGTCCCCCTAGAGGTGGATTTTGGACGAAAGAAGCAACAAGTCAACAAAATGTTCCAAAATGATCAACATCTATTCAGCGAATTGTCCCCATACTATTTTATGTGTCTTAGATATTCCCTGTAGAGGGACATGCCCGACTTAACACTTGTCAGGCCCAGGCCTGAGATCCGGGCGCCGCAGCGGTTTCATCCTGGGCCGTTTTCGCGAGGTTTCGGGCCCAGGGGCCACCTCACATCGACTCTGCTCGCCAAAGAGAAGGTGGGGTCAAGGGCGCCGCTCCCGATGTTTCGCCGAGTTGCATCTGTTTAGCCACGTCGGATCTCAGCGAGGCTCGGCCAGGCCAGGCTCGGTGCAGGTGTATAGCCGACGCCCTCCGAGAGGACTGGAACCCCTGGTTTCACTGCCCCGACACGCCCCTGCCCAAGGAGGTGTCGGCCACGCGAAGAGAGGGGCAGGGGGAGGGGGGAAGGCTTCTAAGCAGGGGTGCTTCGAAGAAGCCTTCCCCCCCTCCCCCTGCCCCCCCCCCCCCCCCCCGCGTGTGGTTGAAGGTAGACCGGGACCACTTGGAGCTGTTGCTTGCTAGCGGCACCCGCAACGCGCACGCGCGCTGGTTCTCCATGGAGGCGCTGCAGCCCCCCGGGCAGGCGCTGGCGGCGGGCGACGTCGTGCAGGTCGCGGCGCGCGTGGGGGACGGGGTGCAGTGGTCCGCCTGGAAGAGCTCCAAGGAGCTCGCGGTGGCGGTCGCGGCCCCGCGCAGGGCTCAGGACGGGGACGCCGCCGAGGCCTGCTGGGCGGAGGACGCCTGCACCGTCCGCTGGCCGGCCGCGGCCGCCGCCCCAGGGCTGGACGCTGTCGAGTACCTGGTCCAGCTGAGCGCGAGAGTGGCCCTTCGCCAGAGTGACCTCTGGCGCGCGGCTAAGTATGGCGGGAGGGTGCTCGGCGGGGGGCCGAGCCTGAGCGCACGCAGGCCGCTGCAGCGGCGTCGCACGCAACGGTCGGCGGGGTGCGCGCCAGAGGTCGCTCTGGCGCAGGGCCAGACTGGCGTGCAGCCGGCAGGTGGGCAACGCGCAAAAAACGGGTTCGTCCGCGCAGACATTGGCGCGTAAGCTGCCCGCGCAAGGTCGCGCGTAAGCGCCCTCGTCTCCAAAGTAGCGTGCCGCGCCGGCGGCCCGCGCAAACCGCCGCGTAAGGTCGCCGCGGCATCTCGCGCGTAAGACCCGTTTCTGATCGTCGCCAAGGTGGAGGCCCACCCCGACTCCGACGCAATGCAGGTGCACATCTAGGGGAACGAAGAGTGATGTAAACAGAAAAACTCGGAGGTCCGCGCGGATTCCTCGGATCCGCGCTGGACCCCCCCCTGGCGGCGCCTCGGGCGCCGCCCCTGGCGCGCTCCGCGCGCCAGGGAGAGGGGTGTCCGCGCTCCGTACCGACCTCCGAGTTTTCATGCTCGTGCCACGCTTCGTTCCCCTCGCATCGCCGCCGTCCTGGACGGACCCGCCGCGGCCGCCAGCGACGGCCACAGGCCCATGCTCGCGCGGGCCCTGGGCGTTGCGGGGAGGGGCGCGCCGCTGGCCGAGGGCGGCGGGCGGCACGCCTCGGTGGAGGTGGCCGGCCTCTGCAAGGACGTCGAGGGAGGAGGAGTCGAGTCGGGCCTGTCCCTCTACAGGAGGAATATTCAAAAGTAGTCAAACAATAGTATGGGGACGACTTGTTATTACATGTTTTTTGACTACGTGGCACCCCGCAGTTGCAGATAAGAGTGAGGGGGCGGCGAGGACGTCGTCAGTCTGCGAGGCTCTGGGGAAGTCCGCCGCAGACACATTATGCAGTGAGCTCGCCGCAGGCGCCGATTTTTTCGTTAAAGCAATGTGGGTGGATCGCGGGGTGAGTCGCGGGTGGGTCGCGGGAAGGTAGCGGGTGGGTCGTGGGCCAGGTCGCGGGGTGGGTCGCGTATGGGTCGCGGGGTGGGTCGCGGGTGGGTCGCGGGGTGGGTCGCGTATGGGTCGCGGGTGGGTCGCAGGGTGGGTCGCGGGCCAGGTCGCGGGGTGGGTCGCGGGTGGGTCGCGGGGTGGGTCGCGGGTGGGTCGCGGGTGGGTCGCGGGCGGGTCGAACGGGGGACGACGACAACAAACAACAGCAGCAACAACAACGCATCACGCAGAATCCTCACCACGGATCTTCAATTCAGCCACGCGCCCAGGGACAATGAATGACCGTTCGGCCCCCTCATTCTGATTTGTCATTTGTTGTTGATCTTTTTAGCGTTCCTCCCAAATCCGCATGTCTGGGGACACGCCCGACCTAAAGGAGGAACCACCCCGACCCCCTCAATTCGGAGAATGACAAGGTACCCATACTGCTATCCTTGCCTCGTTTTCCCCTTTGTGGGTCTCCTGGGAGGCCCTCGTCGCCACCGCTGGATTCGACTCGAGATCCTGGTCAGAACGCACCCCTGGAGAGGTCTGGGGAGTAGCGATGTCGGTACCTCTTGGTTTCCCCAATAATGTTGTCATCGCTCGGGCGTGTGCGTTTCGTTTCGGCGAGGACGAGCGAGCAGCATCCTGGGCCACCTTGCGACACAGAAGCGCACGAAACCGACAAACGTGCACGGGGCATGGGAGCCCGAGCTATGGCGAGGATTTGGCGTTTGTTGAACGGCCCTGGGCGCTTACTATAAGCAGACCTGTCCTGTTCGATTTCTCTGTTGGGTGTGTTTACGCGACGGTCTGAGCCCTCCGGCCGCCTGAGGCCCTGCCCGCCCGCGCCCTGTCTCCCCAATTAGGGCTACTCGCGTCCCGTTTAGCTCTTGACCGGAAGGGGCCCGCTCCCGACCCGCTGACCAACAAGAAGTGTTTACGCGACGCCTTCGCTTGCCGGGGTGTTTCTTCTGCGCGCATTTTTTGTTTGCTCTCTAGGACGTGCGCTACAGCTTCGTGGTGCTGGCGCGGTACCCGGCCGTGGGCTCGCGCGAGTTCACGCGGCTCTTCCAGACCGGCCCCGTCGCGTGGCGCAGCCCCGTGCCGTCCGCCGAGCCGGCGCAGGCCGATGGCCCGCCGATCCCCCCGCCGGCCGTGGAGAGGGTGGCGACGCCGGGGGACGGCAAGAGGCTGTCCCGCTGGGAGATGGAGGGCGAG